GTTCCCAAGCCGTGGAGATGTGGGGTGAGGGACACGGGGCAGTGGGGACCTGGCAGGGCTGGGGGGTGGTTGGACTCCAGGATCTGAAAGTCTCTTCCAACCAGAACAATTCTATCACTTAACATTTTTTAATTCACCTAAAATGCTTCATCCAGGCAGGACCTGGTCCTCTTGAAGCCTAATTCCTACTCACTCTTCTCATCACCAGCTCTGGTGGACCATGATCCTGCAACTAGACCTGGCCAAGTCCTGGAGTGGGAGGTGGTAGAGCAGGAGGAGAAGGTTCTGATTCTCTTCCAACCAGAACAATTCTATCACTTAACATTTTTTAATTCACCTAAAATGCTTCATCCAGGCAGGACCTGGTCCTCTTGAAGCCTAATTCCTACTCACTCTTCTCATCACCAGCTCTGGTGGACCATGATCCTGCAACTAGACCTGGCCAAGTCCTGGAGTGGGAGGTGGTAGAGCAGGAGGAGAAGGTTCTGATGCCCCAAATCAGTCCCTGTGGCATTGCCCTCTCCTCCCCTTCCCCCCACTGGCCTGTGCCAGCAGCCAGTTCCTCTGATGGAGACCATCCAGGCTTCACTTCATGCCCCCTCTGTCAAAACCAGGTTGTGCTGCAGGGTGACATTAAAGTGCAAGAAACAGGAAGCACTTAAAATAAGACAAGAAAAGAAACCTCAGAAGAAAGAAACCTTTTGTCAGGATGGTTCTGGCAGCTCGGCTGCAATTTTCCTCCTTCCCAGCTGTTGCCAAGACAACCAGCTTCTGCACTTTTGGGATGCCCCAAAAAACCCCAACCCAAGCTGGAAGGGAAACCCTTCAGCCCTGGGGATGCTGGTTTTGGGGGGGCCAGCTCTGAGGTGGAAGCCAAGCTGAGGTCCCCCCACCTCAGCACCCTCCAGCAGCAACTCTGGGTGTGGATCCATGATGGAAATATCTCATTCTTTTATCAGCACAGCTCCTTAAGGAACTTCAAGCCCAATAGAAAGGGATGAGAGGCAGAAAAACTTCCTAAAAATGAAGGAGATGCTTTTTGGGAGCCCTCTTTATCTCCACCTTCCTGGGGTTGAACACCCCACTGGAGCCCAGGGCACCCAGAAGAAGCTGGAAGGCATCTGGGGATGATTTTAGGCATGGGGAGGGGGCTGCAGATTGCTTGAGGAGCAGAGAAACCACAGATTGCTTCTCCTGGACATGGACAATCAGCTCAGCATGGCAGGAGCTGAGCACCTCAGCACCCTCCACGTGCTTCATGCACCCACGGGTGCCCCATAGGAAGGGAAGGGGGCAGGGGCAGCTTCTCAGGTTTGTGGGCTTCACATGTGAAAAGCCCCATGAGGAAATGATTCCTCAGCAGGCTGGGATAATAACTGTGATCTAAACATGGATTTTAAGTGACAGAAACCAGGGCAGGTTGTTGAGGAGGCAGCGTGGGCAGAGCAGCAGCACAGCTCTCTGCAGGGGGGGGCTGCACCAGCACCCAGCCCGAGCCCATGGGGTGGGGTATAGGCATTGAGCCATAGAATTTTTGGGGTGAGAAGGGACCTTAGAGGTCACCCAGTCCAACCCCCTGCAGGGACAGGGACATCTGCAGCTAGAGCAGGGTGCTCAGAGCTCATCC